AAAATACAGGTTCCTCCAGCTCTGACTCCAGAGACAGAAGAAGGACCTTTCCTTGGATTCTTACCGTCTCTATCCTTGAAGTAAAAAATAACTTGGGTCAAGATAGACCAGCTGGAGCAACAGGATAAATAAGGATAGTATTAGATGGTGACTCATGGAATCAAATAAGTGTGCATGAGTCTCTACTTATATAAAGTAATAATTTTGTAAATAAATAAGTGGAGTGAGAGGGAATCTCTTATGCAGAGAAGAATTCCAATTAATAAGTTGGAAGGAATGTAGAAGGAATGTGGGAGATGCAAAATCACCACTAGGCAAACACCACCTGCTACTTGTTTCTGTGAAGGTCCTCAGATGGTTGCTAAAACCAGTGGGTAAATGTTTGAGGATAAACAGGATACCTGTAGAGTCTCAAAGTCTCTCCCTGAGATATTTATCAATTATGAAGAGGGAAAATAGTGACTTTAGGGTGGAGAAACCCAGCAGACACCAACTTAACCAAGTGACCAAGGTTGACATTGCCATTAACAAACTGTACTGTACCGAGGGATACCTAGGTGGGTCAGTTGGCTAAGCAGCTGCCTTAAGCTCAGGTCATGATCCCAGGGTGCTGGGATCGAGTCCCATAACAGGCTCCTTGCTCAGCAGGGAAACTGCTTCTCCCTCTGTGTGTCACTTCCCCTGCTTGTGCTCTCTCTCTGACAAATAAATAAATAAAATCTTAGAAATAGACAAACGAGCTGTATTGAGACCATATACCCACCAGTATATGTCCCTGAGGACATATGGCTTCTACGATATTCTGACCAAACAGTATACGAGCTCAATCTTATCATGAGAGAAATCATGCAAATCCACGCCAGGGGACATTCATCAAAATAACTGATAGACTCATAAAAATTGTTAACGTCATGAAAGATAAGGCAAGACTGGGGCACTGTCACAGACTGGAGGAGACTAAGGAGACATGTCAACTAAATACAACATGGGCTTCTGGCTTGGATCTAAACACAGGAAAAGAACATTACTAGAAAAACCAGTGAAATTCAAATACTGTCTGTAGTTTGGTTAATTGTACTTCAACCAACCTTGATTTCCTGATTTTGATGCATGAATTATGGTTATGTAATTATTAACATTAAGGGAAGCTGGTTGAAAGGTATATATGAATTCCCTGTACTATTTTTAAAAATTTCTGTCAAAAATTAAATCAAAATGAAGTTTTTAAAAATGTAATTCTTAGTGACTACACAAGAATAGTAAATTGGACTTCACAAACAACCCCTGAGGAAGGAAACCACCTTATGCACATACATATACACAGACAGATAGATGCATTCAAGCAAGTCCCAGCTCAAACACCAGACTCCTGCCTCCCGGCATTCTATGAAAGGCATTTCCATAGCAGAACATGCCATCCTTGGGTTCCTGGCTGAACTTGACATCCCTGTGGGGGTCAGGTGTTGGTTCAGCTGTCCCAGAGAGTATGTCCTCTGGGAGATCCTGCAGAGAGGTGTAAAGCAGAAACAATTTGATAACAGTCCCTTTACCTGTATCGTGCCAGGTGGGACACAGAGAACCTGTTCAGGGCCCCTGGGCTTGAACCTATGGTTGAACTAGGGCCACTTCTCCCATGGGCACTGGCCAGTGTGGGGTTGGAACTATGTCTTATTCTGTAGGTCCTGGAACTTCCTCAGGGGGAAAGGGGCTCAGCCTGTGGCAAGACTCATCACCCATGATACTGGCTGCAACTTGACCTTAGCATAGCTCCCATGATGCCCATGTGTACAGCCATGGGGTCCTGCCCTACCTCTCCTCACACACTGGCGGATGCTGCCCATTTGCTGGTGCTGGGGACTATAGCATGGCCTCACCGAGTCCTTCCAACAACCCAAAGAAGCTATGCACGCTTATAATCCTGATTTTTAAAATTGTAAAAAACAAACAAACAAAAAAACCCAAAAAAGCCACCCAAACAACATAACACAATATTTACTATCTTAATGGTTTTTAAGTATACAGTTCAGTAGAGTTAACTATATCCATATTGTTATTCAATCTCCAGAACTCTTTTCATCTTGCAAATCTAAACTCTATATCATTGACCTATATAACTCCCATTCCCCCCTGCCCCTAGTAACTACTTCTTTCTGTTTCTATGAGTTTGACTCTTCTTGTTATTTCATGTAAGTGAAATCACACAGTTTTTGTCTTTTTGTTACTGGCTTATTTCACTTAGCATAATGTCCTCAAAGTTCATCTGTATTTTAGCATGTGTCAGAATTTCCCTCCTTTGTAAGGCTGAATAATATTCCAATATATCTATATGCCACATTTTCTTTATCTATTAAACCATTGATGGATATCTGGGATGATTTTACCTTTCGGCTGTCGTGTATAATGTTGCTATGAACATAAACATACAAATATTTATTTGAGACTTTGCTTTCAATTCTTGTGTATCTATGCCTAGAAGTGATATTGTTGGATTCAATGGAATTCTTCTTCTAAATTCTTGAGGAACCACCATACTGTTTTTCACAGTGGCTACACCTTTTTACACTCCTACCAGTAGTGCACAGGGGGTCCCCTTTCTCTACATCCTTGCCAACTCTTGTTATTTTCTGTATTTTTTTGATAGGAGCCATCCTAATGGATGTGAGGGGACATCTCATTGTGTTTTTTATTTATATTTCCTTCATGATTAGTCATATTGAGCCTATTTTCATACACTTGGATCCCCTCTTACAGTTAAGGAAACTGAGGCTTTTAGCAGTGATGTAACCTGCTGAGGTGAGCCAAGAGGCTAGGGGTGGGATCAGAACCGGCCCTCCAGTCTGACTCCAGAACTTCTCCCTGGGCCACCATCTCTCTGGGGAGAGCCACCTCCCCCTACTTACCCTGGTGCTTCTCCCCTTCTTCCTCCCAAACAGCAGCACCCATTTGTCTCTTATTTTATCCCACAACCCAAAAAAGGAAGCAAAGAAGGGAAAGGCTGCTGAAAAAAGCAAACCATTTTGCATTAGTGTGAACATGTGATGATATGTGGCCCCAGAGGTGCTCACAGGATACTATGAGCAGAGCACAACAGGGAGAGCTATGGCCTTGGAGGCCAACAGCTACCCCACTCTTCTCCCGGACATGAATGACACCAGCAAGGAAGGGAAAAGAGACAGGTCAAACCAGTTGTTGGGGAGTGCTGTGGCTACTAGGGCTAGCTCCAGTTCAAGTTCCGATGAGACTTCCAGGAATTGAGTTGGAGGGAGTTGCCCCCAATCTTAGATGCCCCAGGAACAGGCTGTGGGCAAAGGATGGGCACACACCAGAAGCCCCTGCTAGGGGATCAACACCAGAGAATCAGGGTCAATTCACAGCCCAAGGTAGCTGTGGTGCCAATGTTGGGGGGATCCAGAGGTAGTCCACAGGCTGAGCCCACTTTTCACAGGTCCTATAGACTCTGTAGTCACCACTCCTAGCTGGCCACCAGGCTCTTGCCAAGGAAACTCCTGCAGATTCCTCACTGGTCTTGTTGTTTTTCATAGCAGCTAGAGTAAGCCTCTGCCAACTATGGCCATGTTACCCCTTGCTTAGAACCCTTATTATTTCCTATTTCCTCACTCTCCTCAGAGTAAAATCAATTCCTCAACATTCCTGCAATGCCCACTGTGAAATGATTTCTGTAGGCATTTCTAGCCACATCTGCCATTCCCTGAACACCAGCTACCTGGATCTATGGGAATTCCAACCACAAAATCTGCCATGTTCTTTGCTTGGACAAGGTCTACTCATATTTCCAGATTCAGGTCAAATTTTATCTCTTCTTCTTGGAGTATTTCCTCACCCTGTTATCCCTACAGAGAGGGTAATATATATTGTCCCAGGTCACACAGCAAGCCAGCCAGAATTTGAATTCAGGCTCCAGAACTCGATTGGCAAGCAGGGTGGAAGTTAGCCCCCCTCTATAACACGGCAGTGTGCCCCATGGGCATCTGAGCTTTGAGAGCAGGCCCCAAACCCCAGATGTCTACAGTCTGGTGCCCGCACAAGGCCAGTTGTGGTGCCTGACAATTGCCACGTTGGGAAAAGAAATAAGGGCTACGAGGGACCACACTTAGGTTTTTCTTGGGAGGAACATAGAGTGGGGGAAAAGAAACTGGGAAAATTCTACCTTCCTGATAAGGAAAAGCAGGAAACTAGTTTAGGTATACCCTCCTCAAATGGACCCAGCATCTCATGGCCCTTACCAGATGCAAAGCAAGAAGTATAGGGGAGGAAGTGTGTGTGTAGCCTGACTCCCGAAACTTAGAAAACCTGCCACCAAACCACTTAGAATCCCAAGGGGCTAATGGCATAATCTGAAACCCCTGTCCACCACTGGATCCTGTGCTCAAAGGGGTCTGAGTGAGTCGGTCTGCTTATCAGTACATTGGGGCTGGGTTTATGGCTCCTATGGTCCCCTGAACCCAGTCACCATCAGGAGGGCCTCTGCTCCTTTTCAAAGAAATTGGAGCCCCAAGACAGGACCTCAAGCCTCCCCAAAAGGTGGATGGCAGAACAGTAGACCCCCTGCTGCTTGGAGAAGTCTGTGGCCAGGAAACAGGTCAGACCTGCCTATCGCACACCAGGCAGCAAGGCTCTTTGTGTCTGCACTTGGGCTCAGCAGAGATCCCCAGACCCCTCCTCATGTGGGGAGCAGGAACTTGACAGGGACTGTACATCTGAGCAGTTGGGACAGGCCTCTTGGGAAACAATTTCCTCTGTTGTGAAACTCGTAAAGGAAAGACAGTTGGTGACAACAGTCCCTGCGCCATCTCCTCCAACCCGTCATGAATAAGCCTCACAGAAGTCCTGCTCTTGAGGGTGGCCCACACATGTTAGACGGCTCACCCAGGTTGCTCGCCAGCCACTCAGGTTTGAGGGAAAGCGGGGAACGCTCACCCAGGGACTGCCAGGGAGTCTCCAGGAGTCTGAAGCAGATGGAGAGTCATTCACATACCCACCTCGGTCACGATGGTGGACAGGTAGATGTCCTGGCTGAACTCCCAGCCATCCACGCAGCCCTCCTGCTCCAGCTGCTCCAGGTCCACATCGCGCCCCGGCTCCAGCCCGAGCGCCGAGAAGTTGGCGATCGCCGCCAGCCGGTAGCGCCGGCAGCTGTGAGGCACCTCGCGGCCGTCCAGCAGCCGCAGCGGGATACTGTGGTTGCGCCACGCGCGGCTCAGGTTCGCGGTGTCCGGCACCCGGCAGCGGTGCTCCGGAGCGGCGGCCAGGAACACGACAGACATTCCATTGAAGCCGTTGGGGATGATGCTGGCGCTGAGCAGGAAGAAGATGAGGCGCTGGAAGGGCCCCCACTCGCCCAGGAAGGTGGTCACCTCGTCGTAGTCCCGCATGCTGCCCACCGCGGCTCCGCGGCTGCAACAAGGGGTGCTGAGAGCGGCCCCCGGACAGAGTCGCGCGGTCGCGGGCTTGCCCGGAGCGTTCCCGGCGGCCAGACAGCCTGCGGGAGACTGGGGCGCACGGCCGGGTAAGCGTCCCGGGGAAACAGGCTGCGGGCGTTCGAACGCTCCCGGGAGCGAGGCGCAAAGCTGGAAGCCACTGTAGGCTCTCGGGACCACACCCCCATCCCCGCAGGGGCGGGGAGGAGAGGGAGCCAGCGCCGTCTGGGTGGGGCTCCCGGCGGGCTTCGCCTCGTGCTCCGCCCCTCTGCCCCCGCGACCCCTTTGCCGAGCCTGACCCGGCGAGGGGTGTAGCCTGCCTGAGGCAATGGAAACTCGGCTCCCGCGCACCGCGCGTCGCCCGCGACCCCAAATGCTGAGCTCCCAGACCCAAGCCGCGGTATTGGGTCCCACAGGGGAGAGCGTCGCCCCAGGCCTCGCCCGGGACAGGGGTCTCTCCCTGGCCCTTCCAGTCCGAAGTCTGAGTTCAGGGGGCCTTCAGCGGAGCGCGGGCGGGCGAGTCCGTGGAGTTGGTGCTCCTGGCAAGCTTCTGCAGGCGCAGGGGTGACGGGAGTGCGACCTCTGCGCTGGCACTCACGCGGCTCAGGTGGCCGGCGCCAGGCGCCAGGCGCCAGGGCGCTCACTCCCCACAGTCGGAGGAGGGCTGGGCTCAGTCACCCAAGCGGCGCCTCTCGGGGAAAACATCTTCGGGGTAGCCCGGAGCCTCACCTTTAGAAAAGGGGAAAACAAGCCCAGAGCCCGGAAGGGATGAGCAAGGTCACGCGGCGTCAGTGACAGGCTCTGACAGAGGGAGGTGGGGGCAGGGGCCGCCGGGTCGTCCCATGATCCCGCCGGGGCCTCTAGAGAGGACTTGCACACGGAGCCTGGCCGTTAGAGCACAGTCATGGTGGTTCTCCTCTCACCACTTCTGGGGTCTGATTTGGATCTCTTCATTGTCCCCATGCCCCAGGGTTCTTTACTGGGGCTGACTGCCAGAGTTTTCTTGGACTGGAAGGCCTCTGGGTTGCAAAAGGCACTACCCCCTCTCTGGGAAGGGCGGGTGGCGGGGAGGAGAAGGTCCAGCTTGGCTAGATCTGGCAGGGAAACCAGAGCAGGGACACATTGCTCAGTGCCCAGGCTTAGGGCCCTCTGCTATTGCGTGAGCTAGCCAGAGACTGTGCTCTGGGTCCTGGAGTTCATGAGGCAATCAGATGAGATTGGCAGGTGTTTTGAGATTGTGTACAAGGGTGTTTGTTTCTCCAGGCCCCGGTTAGGAGACTGAGGGACGTTTCTTCCTTGGTTTTCATAGCTTGCAGTCTGACGCCTCCACTTAAGCTGGCTTCTCACTCCCCTGGAACCTGTTTTCTGTGATAAGACCATATGTCTGGGGTGCCTGGGTGGCTCAGTCCTTAAGCGTCTGGGGTCATGATCCCTGGGTCCTGTGATCCAGAGGCCATCAGGCTCCCAGGAGAGTGGGGAGGGGAGGGGATGCCTGCTTCTCCCTCTTCCACTCCCCCTGCCTGTGCTCCCTCTCTTGCCATGTCTCTTTCTGTCAGATAAATAAATAAAATCTTTTTAAAAAAGGAAAAAGACCATATGTCCTTCTGCACCAGGACAGGTCTGATTTATGCCTGTTAGTCGTATGAAATTATTAATAGCACATCTCTTTACTTTAAAAAGTATCCTTGGGGCACCTGGATGCCACAGTTGGTTGGGTACACAACTGTTGATTTTTAGCTCAGGTAATGATCTCAGGGTGTTGGGATTGCATGAGACACTCCCCCACCCCCCAAGAGCTTCACACTCAGTGGGGAGTTTGCTTTGGGATTCTCTCTCCTCCTGCCCTCCCCACTCCCCTGCAGAAATAAAGAAATCTTTTTAAAATTTTCCTTTAAACAATAATCTATGTCATCGTTGTCTTACTTGCCTTGAATTTCATCCTTCCCTTTTCCCCCAAAAGAAAAGCAAAGTCTGAGATAAAAATTTATGTGGAGATAGCTAATTTCGAGTAGTGATCCCAGGAAAAGGAAGTGAGGGGCTAGGAAGAGTGAACAGGGAAGAAGGTAAGGCCAGCAAAGACTGTGTAACTGAGCAGGTTATTGGAACCCAGGTCAGTAATTATGTTATGCTGAAATATATTAGATCCTAAAGCCAAAGGAAAAAATTAATAATATTGATCCTATCTTTACTTCAAATTTTGATATTGTTGATCATGTATTTTTATATAGACCCATGGATTTTTAGGACCCTGAAATCATGACCTGAGCCAAAGGCAGAACTTTAACTGACTGAGCCAACCAGGTGCTCCTAGAGATACCTTTTTTTTTTTTTTTTTTTTTTACAACAATGAAGGAAAAGTGTTACCGGCATTTGGTAGGCAGAGGCCAGCAATCTATGAAACATCCTAAAATGCACAGGACAGCCCCCCACTACAAACAAAAATTATCTGGCCCAAAACTTCAAAAGTGCCAAAGTCAAGAAACCCCAATTATGGCACATAGAATGTATTGTGATTATAAGGATCATGGAGTTGAATGGCTTTTGTTAAGAGCTTTAGAGCCTTGAAGAAAGAAAATGATAGGCCCAGGGTGCCCGGGTAGCTCATTTGGCTAAGTGACCCACTCTTGGCTTCAGCTCAGGTTGTAATCTCAGGATTCTCTCTCTCTCTCTCTCTCTCTGCCCCTCCTCCTGCTCTCTTTCTCTCTCAGATATGTGCTCTCTCTCTCTCTCTCAAATAAATAAATAAAAGCTTAACCCCCCCCCCCACACACAGAGAAAATGATAGGCCCAGGTCAGCCATCTGTAAACTGAAGGCACACTGTGTTAAGCCTGGAAACCTCCATGGCAGCTCTTAACAAGGCCCTCATTCCCTGTGGCCTCAGGGAAGATTGTACTGGAAATCAAATCCAGGATTTAACTGATTTAACTGTAAGAGTAGGACAGCTACATAAAAAGACTGCATGCACAGCTTTTTTTTTTTTTTTTAAGAGAGAGAGCTTGAGAGCATGACAGCATGAGTGGGTGGGGGGTGGGAGAGGCTGAGGGAAAGGGAGAGGGATAACCTTAAGCAGGCTCCACACCTGGCAAGGAGCCCAACTCGGGGTTTCACTGAATCTCATCACCTTGAGACCACAATCTGAACAGAAATTGCTCAGTTGGTTGCTGGGGCACCTGGGTGGCTCAGTCATTGGATGCCTGCCTTTGCCTCACGTCATGATCTCAGGGCTCTGGGATCAAGCCCTGCGTGGGGCTCCTTGCTCAGTGGGAATCCTGCTTCTCCCTCTCCCACTCCCCCCACCTGTGTTCCCTCTCTCGCTGTCTCTCTCTGTGTCAAATAAGTAAATAAAATCTTTAAAAAGTGGGGGGGTTGATTGCTTAACCAACTGAGTCACCCATACACCTCTGCATGCACAGGTCTGATAGGTGTTCTCTGACAGTCATGCCCCTAATAGGAAATGCATAGAATCCTGAAAAACCTGAAATTTCTAAACAGAAACACTTGGTAAATTAATGTGGGCATTTTGAATTCCTGGATTCTCTTAAACCTTCAAGTTCAGCAGCAGCTGCAGCAGCAGCTCTCTTCTTCTTCCTATATGAGAGTAACCTCTCCTTGATGGGAATCCCTGCTAAGACTCCTCTAGAGGCAAGGGGCTCCAAAGATGATGCTTATCTTCCTCAAGATCCTCCCCTGCCCACCCCCCACCACTGCCTCCAGACCAACAACTATGGTGAAGTCTCAGCACAGCCCAGGTGGGGAAATATAGACCCTGATCCACAGGGAAGTGGCATACTCATTGGGGAAAAAGAAAAGAAAAGAAAAAGAAAGGAAAGGAAAGGAAAGGAAAGGAAAGAAAAGAAAAGAAAAGAAAAGAAAAGAAAAGAAAAGAAAAGAAAAAAGAAAAACAAGCCCTATGTTTTGGTAGGAACACGAGTAACATGTGGGACTTTATTGACGTAGGAGCACTCTGTCATAATGCTGGGTTTAACATCGAAGCAAGGATACAGAAAAACATATCCATTTGCTTCCAAGATGGCTCTTTGGACACAATTATGGCCTACTGAAAGAAGCTGGAGATGCCAGAACTTTCTTGACTGATTATGAAAGGAGTAGGAAGGCTCAGGGGAGTGAGAATGTTAGATTGTATTTATCATGCCAGACCAGAGAACATATCACCATATTGCATTCCCAAGGCACGTCCTGAGAATACTCCCTTCTCTAAGGCAGTACAAAATACACAGGTGAGGATTCCTAGTGTCAGTGAGGATAAGATTCTAGAATAGCAGAGGCTAGATGGCGACACAATCATCAGAGGCAGGGTGGAGGTTGTTACAAGACCAAAGTAGCAACCAGCATGCTTGGTCCATAGCCATGTGATGGTGATGGCTAATCTACCACAGTGTTCCTAGGAGTTAAGTGAATGGGCAGACGACCAAGTGTTACTTGACTTGTATAACAAACTCACCCCCAAAAGCAAAAACTAAGAAGCAGAAGGCTGATGGATGCTACCACAATGGGAATGAGTATTTTCTCATTAATTTCCCAGATGTAGGCCAGTTCATAGGCTCAGAGCCTATTGATTGAAAAGGAGGCCAATTCTCCTATAGTGCCAAAAGTATATATCACAATTATTTCTCTAATCTCTTCCCACAAGGGATCCGCAGTTATCGTAGTCTGCTCAAGCTGTCATAACAACATATCACAGACTAGTAGGTTTAAACAATAGAAATTTATTTCTCATGTCTAGAGGCTGGAAAGTCTGAGATCAAGGTGCTGGCAGATTCAGTTTCTCATGAGAGTCTTCTTGGTTTGTAGACAGCCACTTTGTTATGGGCTCCCTCATGTGTCTTCTTCTAAAGGCACTACTCTCATCATAAGGGCCCCACTCTCATGATCTCATCTAAACATAATTAGTCCCCAAAATCCTCATCTCCAAATGTGATTGAGGGTTAGGGCTTCCACATATGAATTTGGGGGAGACACAGTTCAGTCTATAGTGGTGATCCTTTACCAGAACAACTCTGGCCTGGGAAAAGGGAAAGTCCTAGACCTTTCTGGAGCTGTTGGATTCAGAGTATGAGCCAGCCTTGCTCCCAGGGTTTGGGAAACCCCATCATGGTCCCCCAGTTAGACTGGAGGCTCATGAAAGCCAGGTAGTTAATGGAGTTCTCATTCAAACAGGT